TTCATTTCAAGGAACCCTCTGTCTCAAGAGCTTTGGTTGAACAGATTTTAATCTCTGAAAATAGACTCCCATATGAAAATTATCTGGCCACGGGCAAAGTTTACCATTAGAGCAGCTGCAAACACAGACCATCTGTATACACCAGGGAAACCTTGATCATAGCTCAAACTAACTAGGGGAAAGGCCATTTGTTCTATTTAAAAAAAAAAAAAATCCTATGCTAGGTATATTTGTCCAAGCAAAACTTTTTGTTCAAACACTTAAAATTCTCGGACAGCACTTGTAGAATTTTCTTTTTAAAAATGTTTTATTTCTTTAATTTGAAAGGCACAGAAACAAAGACAGAAATCTCCTATATGCTGGTAAAATGGAAACTCTACTTTAAAAAAATTTTTTTTTTATTCAAGAGGCTTAGAGACAGACAAAAGGAGTTCTCATCTGCTAGTTCATTCTCCAAATGCCTGTAACAGCCAGGCTGAGCCAGGAACTTACTCCACGGATCCCACATAGGTGACAGGGACCCACACACCTGAGCCTTATCTGCTGCCTCACAGGGTCCACATTAGCAAGAACTACAACCAGAAGGTACAGCCAGGATGTGAACCCAAGCACCACAATACGGGAGGCAGGTGTCTTTTTTTTTGTTTTTGTTTTTGTTTTTTTTTTTTTTTAATTTTTTGACAGGCAGAGTGGACAGTGAGAGAGAGAGACAGAGAGAAAGGTCTTCCTTTGCCATTGGTTCACCCTCCAATGGCCGCCATGGCCGGTGTGCTGCGGCCGGTGCACCGCGCTGATCCGATGGCAGGAGCCAGGAGCCAGGTGCTTCTCCTGGTCTCCCATGGGGTGCAGGGACTAGAACCCGGTGTGCCGGCGCTGCAAGGTGGAGGATTAGCCCAGTGAGCCGCAGCGCCGGCCATGGAGGCAGGTGTCTTAACTGCTAAGCTAAATGTCCACCTTGAAAGGATAATTCTTAAATTGGAATTACAGGATTAACATGAAAACACTTTAAAAAAAGTTCTATTTTTAAAATTAATATATTTGAAAGTCAGAGTTACAGAGAGAAGGAACAGAAAGAGAGAGAAATCTTCCATTTTCTGGTTAAACTTGAACCCGTGCATATATGGAATGCTGGCATCACAGGGGGCAGCTTTACCTGCTGTGCCGCAACACTCACCTTGAGAAAGCTTTTTTTTTTTTTTTCTTATTTACTTATTTGAAGCCAGGGAAAGGGGGGGAACAGAAAGAGAGAGAAATCTACCATCTCCTGGCTCACTCCACAAATGGCCACAACAGTCAGGTCTGGTCCAGGCCAAAGCCAGGAGCTGGAACTCCACCCAGGTTTCCCACATGGGTGGAAGACCTCTCCCATCCCTCTCTCCCCCTCTCCCTCCTTCTCCCTCTCCCTCTTTTTCTGTTGCTGTGCCTTTCAGATAAATTAAAGTAGAAAACATTTAAAAAATGTAAACATCTTAAATGGGTTTTTTTGACAGGCAGAGTTAGACAGTGAGAGAGACAGAGACAGAGAGAAAGGTCCTCCTTCCGTTGGTTCACCCCCCAAATGGCCTTTATTGTCGGTGGGCTGCGCCGATCTGAAGCCAGGAGCCAGGTGCTTTTCCTGGTCTCCCATGCGGGTGCAGGGCCCAAGCACTTGGGCAATACTCCACTGCCTTCCCAGGCCACAGCAGAGAGCTAGACTGGAAGAAGAGCAACCGGGACAGAACCGGCACCCCAACCGGGACTAGAACCGGCACCCCAACCGGGACTAGAACCTGGGGTGCTGGAACCGCAGGTGGAGGATTAGCCTAGTGAGCCATGGCGCCGGCCAACATCCTTTTTTTTAAACTTTTATTTAATGAATATAAATTTCCAAAGCACAGCTTATGGATTACAATGGCTCCCCCCCCCCCATAACTTCCCTCCCACCCGCAACCCTCCCCTTTCCCTCTCCCTCCCCCCTTCCATTCACATCAAGATTCA